AGCTGTGGATCAATGATTTCTGTGGTTCAAACTGTGCCCATCAACATTATATGTGATTTGATGGTGCATTCATGGTGACCCAATGCAGAAACCCTGAGGATCCATGAGGATCCATGCTTCAGAACCATGTTGTGGTTTTATGGTGTAGTCACGAAGCCGTGGATTCATGGCTTTTGTGGTGCAACCTGTGCCCATGGACATGAGATGGGATTTGTTGGTGTGTTCATGGTGACCCAACGCACAAGCCTTGAGGATCCATGGGGATCCGTGCTTTGGAGCGATGTTTGTGCAGCATGTTGCCACGAAGCCGTGGATCCATGAATTCTGTGGAGCAAGTAGTGGCTATGGACATGGAATTTAATGGTATGTTTGGGTGTTCCAACACAAAAACCCTAAGAATTGATGAGGATCCATGCTCCAGAACCATGTTTTGGCTTCACGGTGTTACCACGAAGCCATGTATCCATGACTTTTGTGGTGCAAGCTGTTGCCATGGACATGATATGTGATTTGATGTGACCCAACACAGAAACACTGAGGATCCATGAGGATCCGTGCTTCAGAACCATGTTTTTGCAGCATGGTGTTGCCACAGAGCCGTGGCACCGTGATTTCTGTGGTGCAGGCTGTGGCCATGGACATGGTATTGGATTTAATGGTATGTTTGGGGTGTCCCAACACAAAAAAGCCAAACATCCATGAGGATCCGTGCTTCAGAATCATGTTTTTGCAGAATGGATTCACCACGAAGCCGTGGATCTGTGATTTTTTGGGTGCGAGCTGTGGCCGTGGACAAGTTATGTGATTTGGATGGTGTGTTTCAGGTGACTCAGTTGAAAAACCCTCAGGATCCACGAGGATCCGTGCTTTGGAACCATGTTTTTGCAGTTTTGTGGTGCCACGAATTCCTGGGGGCATAATTTTTGGAGTGCTGCCTATAGTCTAAGACATGGTCTACAGTATGATGTTGGTTTTATTTCATTTCAGCGTAAAAATCATATGAATTCATGAGGATCCATGCTTTGTAATCATGTTTTTGCGCTGCTGTGGTGCCACGAATCTGTGGATGCCTGATTTTTGTGGTGCCCCTTGTAGACTAACACATGACCTACAATATGGTGGTTTTATTTCGTTTCAATGTAAAAATCATATGAATTCATGAGGATCCATTTAGATCCGACTTTTACCCAGACCCCTTCATATAGTCTAAGACATGGTCTAAAGTATGATGTTGGTTTTATTTCATTTCAGCTTAGAAATCATATGAATTCATGAGGATCCGTGCTTTGGAATCATGTTTTTGCACTGTTGTGGTGCCACGAATCTGTGGATGCGTGATTTTTGTGGTGCCCCCTATAGACTAATACATGGTCTACAGTATGATGGTGGTTTTATTTCCGTTCAATTTAAAAATCATATGAATTCATGCGGATCCGTGTAGATCCGACTTCTGCCCAGACCCTCTTTTCCGCCCTCGGATTCTCTCCTGCCGATTCCTGCGAGGGGGGG